AGACTTGGGCTGTATAATCCAAGTTGTATTTAACCAGTGATACACATGCATCGCTTAAACCATATTTTTTATATTGGTTTGAATGTTATGATATAGTTTTGCTGTTTTTTTATGCTCCATCCAACGTTGAGGCATGCAATAATATTAGGTTTTTTACAAGAATTCAAGCTAACAATGAGTGAGTAATTGATGAACAAGTGGTCATTTTGTGGGTTAAGTGTTTCTTTAACAAACATATTCCACCCTAAATCATAGTTGAACACAAACCAAACTCACTGAGACAGACAGGACAGCACTCTCCATCGATAAAGGTTGGATTAATGCAGGATAAAGAAGGGCAAAACACCTGCTGACACGTCACCTTTCCATCCTAGGCATGAAAGATACACCCATAATTCAGCGTTATCAAATATATTATCAGTCTCATAGTGTTAGCTCGAGCCAGATGTTTAGCTTAATGCCAGTCCTTGCAGAGGAATGGTATATGCCATCATGACTCATAATAAATTGGTTGTCTCCCTCAATCCATCCTTGACAAAATTAATGATGTTGATAAAGAGAAACAGATTCAGAGAGGAAGATGAAGCAAGAATAAGAGAATAACAAAGGCAGCTCTGGAAATAAATAAAACCACATTGTGTACAAGTGAGACTTATAGTAAGTCTCCCTCCAACTGGTTAGTCAATTTAAAACGACTTTTGGGCTTCATGGGCTTTCTTGCCAAGAGTTAGATAAAAAGATTGATACCACTCCTGTATGAGAATGGTATCAATTGTTCTCATTTGTATCAGAGCTGTAGGATTGTTGTTTTGTTTCAGGATGTTATGAATCAAAGTCGAAGATTGACACTGGCTTTCAAGTCCCAGCTTTTTGTAACAACGTCTTATTCAACTCTTTAGAATCACGTCTCAGAAATGTGCCTTAGTTCTTAAGTTAATGCACAATATACTCTTTATATGACACATAAACAAGACCTTTCCCCATAGATTATGATAGATTGATTAAAGGGTGTCATCCAATGATGCAATCATACTGGCCATATTTCACTTTATCAAAGAGAATATCTCAGCACTTTCCAAGGAAAAATCTCTGCTCATATTTTATAGATTGTAGACATAGAAGACATTTGTTCGACACTGACCTGACAAGCACAGAAGGTGCAGCTGTCAACCTCCCAATCCTCCCCCTGCTCGTACACACGTCCATCCTGCATACACCAGACCCCCCCGTCTCTGTCAAGATCATTGACATCATCACTGCCGCCACTGCTCCTGTTGTTGTTGATGCCGTTTTTGTTGCTGTTGTTGTTGTTGCTGGTCCTGTTGCCGCTGCTGCGGATGTTACTGCTAATGTTCCCCTTTCTGCTTTTGCTCAGCTCAGCCAAAGATATCCGCATCTCCTCATTTTCTTTTGACTGAGAATAAAATCAATACAAAAACCTATAGCTCACATTAAAATCATTACCAGAACTGTAGTTTTTAAAAGATTTGTTCCTGTGTTAGTACAAGGAAATCTGTGGGATTAGGCTAGAATGGCAGAGTTGATTAGTAGCCAACATTTTAACACTGATGGTATTCTTTTGCAGGTTTTTTCCCCCCAAAATGAAAATTACCAGGACATTTACCACAAACCACAGTGTTTCCTGCCAGAGAAAAATGACGTGGCTGCTTACTCTATTTGCACTGGAAGAAGTGCTAATCCCTTTTGGTTTTGTCACACAAATCTCCCAGAAAACTCAACACCGTCAAATACAATTTTAAGTGCAGTGCTGGTACACTTAAGCAATGTTCTTGGCGACTTTGTTGATTTGTTTAATATAATTACAAAAACTGAAAATGAATTCTACTGCAACTTTAGTTGTACTTTACAAGTAGGAAATAAAGTCACTTTAAAATAACTTTATTCTCTAAAAATGTCCATGTAAAATCCAATTTTATTGCTCATGCCATATCAAAATAAACGTTGCATCAGAGAGTTAAACACAACAAACAACTGCCAACATGCAGAAGCCATATGTGTGTATGTGTATTTGTGTGTCTTACTACTCTGTCCAGGTCTTCCAGCAGGTTTCCGGTCACAATACGCAGGCCTTGGATCTCAGTGAGCAAGCCCACCAGCTCGTCACATGGATGACGACAGACTTCTGACGACACATTGTCGACCTTTGCACCACCCACACCTGTGGAGTAGGCACAAGTGTGTCCGGTCTATGCTTGATTTTGTACTTGAGTCAATGATGGAATAAAAACAAGTGAGTAAACTGTATGTGTCTATATTGTAATGCATGTTGTACTATGTGAGGTACCTGTGCACACAGCTGCTGCATAGAAGAATATCAAAAGCCAGGGGAAACCTCTCAGTGGATTCATTCCTGTTCACATAAATCACATATACGGTCACCATGGAATATATATATACTGCTACACCGCTGCCCAATACAAGCAGCACTGCTGCCCAGGAGATACAAGAAGAAGTAGAAGAAGATAAAGAGGGAATTAACCTTGCATACCTGCGTACTCCTCGCTGTTCAGCCTTTCTCCACGATTAGAAATCACGGCTGGTAGGATCATCCCCGCTGCAGCTCCACAGGGGCTGTGATGGAATGTCTGTCTCCCCGTCTTCCTCCTAATTTCCTTGTGTCCTTCTTGCCAGACCCGGGCTTATCAGCACAGGTTCCTCAGTAGTGTGTAGTCCAAATGAAAAAGTGAAGCTGTTGGAGAGAGTGAAATCTGAGTGAAGAACATGCAGACAGCTCGCTTAGTTCTGTAGCAAGTTCTAATGCGGTTATGTATTTGTTTGAGAGTGTGTGTGTGTTTGTGTGAGGCAGGAGCGGGAGCCATATATTACCCGTGTGTCTGGCGATGAACTGGCCTGCATATCTCCCAGCGAGGAACCCAGCTGGATGGAAGGAAATGTGTGGATGTGCGTGTGTGTGTGTTGACGTTTCAATGCAGGTTTCCCAGACCCATCATTTACACTCCTGACCCTCCAAACAGACACTTATTGGCTGCCGGAGTTTTTCCAATATTTTGGGAGAGAGAAATCAAGCATCACTATAAATCACTGGTGAAAAATGAGAGGCTGGATGGGTGTGTGTGTGTGTTTGTTCTTGTGACTGATTCCTCTTGATGTCTGCAGATTGTGAGGTAAGATAAGCAAGCTGATGGAATACTAAAACATCTACTCCCAGTGCGACCATCATCTTTCTTTCCTTTCTCTATCTCTCTTTTTCCTCCATCACTCCCCCCCTCTCTCTCTCTGTCTGTCCCTCTCACTCTCTCTTTTTGGTCTTCTCCCTGCTGAGTCAAAAAGGCATCATCATCCTGAATCATATTTTCCATCTGTAGACTCTATTCCACTTGTGGAATAATGAATCTCACAGATGTGTGCATGCATGCATGCGCACACACACGCAAGCGCCTGTGCCCATACAAACACACAACTTCTCTGAATGCAAATACCTAGAAACATCACGAACGATGAACATATAAGAGCAGACACCATGTTTCCTGCTGGAAGCCTTTCAACGGTGAAGACAGGGAAAGCAGGTGCTGTCACTGTGCTGAGAAGCAGAAAAGCCCAAAAGTAATGAGATCTGAGGGATATAAAAAAAGGTTAGGACTTGGGCGAGATTGCCTGGCAGAGTCCAGAATGACATTCTTGGGCTGATATGCTGCATGGTAGACAAATTCAATCAATCAATCAATGTTTATTTATATAGCCCAATATCACAAATGTTACATTTGTCTCAGTGGACTTCACAGTTTGTACAGAATATCAGTATGACAATATGACACCCTCTGTCCTTAGACCCTCACATCATACAAGGAAAAACAAATTCTCTTCTGGCATCTCTCTCGAACAAGGAAACAAAAATGCTGTTCTGGCATCTCTCTCGAAGTCTGAGGCTCTGTCAGTTTCCCCCTGTGCTTAAGGAGGGGAAACTTTATCAAAGAGGGAAGCTCACTTGCAATCTGAGAAAGGCGAAACTGACTTAAGAATGCAGTGCTATCATGAGTTGTTGTTGTTGTTGTGCAATCAAGCATTTTTTTTTTACAGATTATACCCCTATTTTCCAAAGGTGACAAGATCTCAAGGGCATTTGAATTATGCTTATAGCCTTCCAGTGTAAGTAGCAACCTTACTGTCACAGCCAGGCCATTCAATGTCCTGCAATGGCCTCACAACTCTTAAGCATGTTGAATCAGAGAATTAGACTGGCTTAAAGTAAAAGGATTTAAATGGAAAGGTGCACAGCAATTCAAGAATGGAGAGGGTCGGGACAAAGCGTGGCATGGATCTCATCAGCGGGATTTGCGAGGCATTCTAATAAGAATGTTGTACAGAAATAAATACTTTTAAAAGGCATACAAACAACAAAATGTGTTAGCTGCAATACGTTTAATTTAAAACAATTTCCCCATAGAGATGGATGCTGATTCAATAAAGACAGACACCCTTTGTTTGTCCCAGAAACATCCACTGTGGGTCAGTAGAACAGGGGAAAGGCATTAATCCACTTTCTAGCTAGGTTAGTTTGCAACACACAGCCTTCTGGGATCTGTAGTCCGGAATGATGCCCTCCAGGTTTCCTCCACACATGAAAGCCTTAAGATATTAAAGTATTCTCTTAATGGCCTCGGTGGTGCTGAAATCAAAGCCTTGCCAAAGTTTCATGCTCCCTCTCGAGCGACCTGTGGGCATTTGTGTTCGAGTGCACGAGTCCAGCGACCCCCTGTGGTTACCTGTGAGGTGTGAACTGAGAGGTGACGCAGCGCTCTGACATTGCAGGTCAAACTGGCAATGCGCGCGCGCTCAGGGCTTTACACAGCTCAATTAGCGTGCCACACTTTCCCCTGTGATCGGCCTTCTTCCGCCTGGACACAGAGGATTATTATGCCGTCTAACCTCGGCAGTGTGGAAAGCAAAACACCCGTTAGATATAAGAGGAACCGGGTTTTTACGCACAAGGCGGAAAGGTAACCGGACTATTTTGGGACATGGATGGAGATATGGAAGGGTTCATCTCCCAGAAGGTGATCGTGTATAACAGCATGCTGCCTTATTCCGACCGGTTGGAGCTCGAGGCCACGGAGCTGTTGGCGGAGATCAAGGCGAACCTGTCCAGAGCCGTCCTCCTCAGAGAGCTGTGGCCCGGGGTCGCTTTGTGGTGCAGGAAGCTCTTCTCGTAAGTGTTATGTCAGGCTGTCCTCCGGAGCAAACTCTTAAGTACTCACTTATGAGTTATTTATATCACACAATCGCAATACTGTGGAATATTGACGACAACAACGAAATGAATCAGCTTCAGAAATGTGCAATAATATTTGTGTTGTGTCAATTATGTTTGATTTATATAGCAGTGGGCAAGAACTTCCAGGTGGTCAAAGACAAAATAAATACTCATTAAAACAAAAATATTCATCATTAGTTATTCAGGTCTATTGCAGGGGGGATAAAGTGCCAAGCATATCAAAAAGATTTAAATGGAAACTACGCCCATTAAAATTCGTACATCTCATTCATGTGCAGGGGCGGATCTAGACAAATATTCATGGGGTGGCAAGAGGGTGGCAGGAGATTTTGAGGGGTGGCATCCCCTGACAGAAGTATATGCTGATTTAAATCGCAATCATATCAATCAATTAGGGGTGTAACGGTACACGTACCCGTACTGAAATTATTCGGTACCGGCCCTTCGGTTCGGTACACGTGTGTACCGAACGAATATAGCGTTAAATGTAAACAAATTGAGAACATGAACAACTTTCTGGAAGTAATCTCAGGTATATATCATAGAGCGACCAAGTAATTTCATTGGACGAGAGGCATACTATGAGAGCTGGTCACAGGGATGCGTTCAAATGTAGTCAGTAATTTGAGGAACTGTCGAAATGGCGAACGCAGATAAAGTTGAGCTGAAAATCCTCCAGCATCATTGAAGTCTCCGGTTTGGGAACATTTTGGTTTCGCAGTTACGTACAAGGATGACGGACAAAGACAGGTGGACCGAACCAAAGCTGTTCGTCGGTATTGTTCAACTAACATTGGTTACGCGGCTGGCAATACATCACACTCATTTGAAAAGGCATCACCCGAATGTGAATATCACCGGTACCAAAAGAAAAAAGACTGAAGTGCAAACCCAACTCCCACTAGCATGTAAGCCTCCACCACTCGCAGAAAGTTCAGACCGAGCCAAAGCTATTACAAACGCCAAATATCCTTATGTTGCCATGTTAGCAAAGCGCTACCTGGCTGTGCTACCTCTGTCCCTAGAGAGGGTGTTCTCCACAGCAGGAGACATTGTTAGTGCCAGCAGATCTGCCATTTCAGCAAGCAATGTGGACAAGTTCATCTTTCTTTAAACAACATGAAAATACAATGACAAGCAAGTCCTAATGTCAAGCTGGCTGCTTAGGTACTAGTACAGTTCAAATACAGATTATTTCAGTTCATCGAAATGCTGCACCTTAATGTTTATTTTACTATATTTTGTATTTATTTGAATACATTAGTCACAGTTTAATAATAATAAAAAAAAATGTTTTTAATGTTTTGTGATAATTTTTTCTGCTGTACCGAAAACGTACCGAACCGAACCGTGACCTAAAAACGAGGTACGTACCGAACCGAAATGTTTGTGAACCGTTACACCCCTACAATCAATGTTAACTTGGAAAGCCACAATATTAATATTTTAACTCAATCACATAGATGATATTATTGTGGCACATCAGTAAAGCCTTACATATAAGGTGGCAGACGTAATTTAATGAATTTTAACTGAACAATAACTGAATGAGTTTGTCTCACTCTTAGACCAGCAGGGGTACCAAATATATACAGACTGCTGCAATAAGTACATTAATTAACTGTCTCATCGATGTTTGTCTGAATGAATATGATACTATTAACAATCATATTATTCCTATCAGCTGTCAATCACTGTTAATAAATAATAATAATAATAATAATAGATTTAATTTGTTAGCGTTTTTACAGGTGCTCAAAGACGCTTTACAGATATAGTGAAGAACTGTTATGATTCACATATTCATTTATTGTTGAATAAACTATATTTATTTTTTGGAGGAGTTAATGATGAATGTTCATCAAGATGCTTGCTCACCCTCCTTCAAATTTGAAAAACAAGTAATTATATCATTATTGATAAACAGTTACAACCTTGACTTTACATCAGAAAGAACAAACATTAAAGAAGTGACTAACTGCATCAGTTAGGGTTAAAAAACGTGTATTCAGCTAAAACATCGCTGCAGTTATTATCCAGTGGAAGGTCCTTACCTACTGGCCTAGTTAAATCAAAGTGGTTACTTTCTGTTGGCTGGGCAGTGTAGTTTTACACACCGTCTTATTTTACTTTTTCAGGACTTACAATTGTTTTTTGGGGGCAGACCCCCTCAAAGAAAAAAATGTATACACGCATACAAGGTCATCATCTTAACAGTTTGTTATTCTCATCGAGTCATCCGTGAGCAGAGCATCAATTTGGCATATCTATTACAGCTGAATGCGGCGATTACTATTTTGTTCAGCAAAACGCCTCACAAACTTATTAAGATTAACAGCTGTAGTGCGTTTTGATTCAATGCTGAGTACAGCCAAACTTGACATTCTCTTCTCTGTCATTGTAGACCGCAACTACCTCATTCCTTCAGTGCTTGGGTCCGAAAGGCTTCTCGTTTTGCGCCGTCCCGTTCAAATGAATACGCCACCAATCATATTTCCACTCTCGCGCCAGGACCGGGGGAAGGGTTACATGACGTGCATCTTGTGCTGCATTCACTTGCACTCGGACATTAGAGACTTTCTCTCATAAATGTCCGATGAGCAACAACTTTTCTTTCAAAACAAAGATGCCAACTGGGGTGGCAGCTGGGGTGGCAAGGCTATTGTTTAGGGTGGCAGTTGCCACCCCATGCCACTCCGGTAGATCCGCCCCTGTTCATGTGGTCAGTTCAAGCGTATTTGACAACATGAAAACAACTCTCACAAATTCAAAAGATTAGCTTGCCAAAATTTAAATGTGTGACGTCATCATCATGTATACAATCTGGAGATGCTCCAACAATGTGAGATGTTATTTTAACTTATTTACGAAACTGAGAGCAGCCTTGAGAAAGTTCTGTGTTCATGGGGACATTTTCTGTTATGCCACTTAACAAAAATACACTAGGACGAAGCTCATATTGGCATAAAACGATGTTTGGGTTCATCAGTTTATTGCCTTTCATAACAATAATTTAAACTCGATGACATAGAAAGTTTTAGACTGACTTATCTGATTTCTGGCTTTGAGTCATGTTCACAAATATTTCTTAAACTATATAGGCCATGCAAAGGTATTGGAATTCTTAATTAATGGTGCATGGTGTTCCTCTTTGAGAGAGCATCAGGGCATCGTGATCTGCCTATAAGGCTGGACTTTTAATTCACTTTGTACAATTGGCATCAAGTCAATGAGGTTAGTCGAGGTTTGTTGTTGAGTGATTGTGCCGCTGAATCTGTACGCACAGAGAAATCAGAGCCCTTGCAGTCCCGGATCCTGGCCTTTGGAAAAAACATGTCTGAGATCAGGGCGGCAAAGACTTTCTCACTTTAAAATAATACTTTGTTTGTTATTCTGTATAATTATGTTCAGTTTTTTAGTTCAATGTATCCAGTGCGTTTTGCTTTTAATTAAAGCCATTTCTGATTTAAAAAAATGTGCTATATCAATTAAAAATAGTTTATTATTATAATTTTGATCACTTACGATGTTTTGAGTATATGGGTCAGCTGCAGGAAGTCATTATCTGCTCACTGATGGACACTTTTCCCTCCTTACCTCCACCCTTTAGGTTTCTGAAGCTGTACGGCCGCAGGTTCAGCAAAGAGGACCACATCCTCTTCATCAAGCTGCTCTATGAGTTGGTCACGCTGCCGAACCTGGAGCCTAACATGATGCTAGGCTACGCCAGGCTGCTCATTCAGCTTCTCAAGTTGGTGTGACACAGATACACACAGATACACACTACATACGCCTGAGCTCAGATATCTCTATAGAGCTTGTAGAACCGCAGCTCTTTGCTTCCCATGAGTAAGAAAGCCAGTTGAGGTGTTTAAAGCATCTGACCTGGACCCATCCCTGAGGAGCGGAGCCCCAGGCAGATCCACATCTCGGGGGATTACATATCCCATGAGGCTCGGGTATGCCTCAGGATCCCGAAGAGAAGCTGGAGGACGTGCCTGGGGAGTAGCATGTTTGGGTTATATTGCTGTACTGCATATGAAATAGCTTATTATGACTAATGAAATTTGACATGAATGTTAGAAGAGAAGAGAGAAGATGGACTTTTATTAATCCCCCGAGGGGGGAATTCAGTTTCCACTCTGTCGTACACACACATGCGTTTTTATACAGGTCATGCAGTACACACTTTTTAGAACATGCACATACATATACACACACAGTTATATGCACAGATGCACATGCAGTTAAGAGGTCAGAGCGGAGGCAGCCAGTCTAGCCGGCGCCAGTGAGCAGTTGGGGGTTAGGTGCCTTGCTCAAGGACACTTCGGCAGTGGCCCAGGAGGTGAACTGGCCCCTCTCCAGTACCAGTCCACACTCCGTATATTTTGGTCCGATCGGGGACGTGAACCGGCAACCCTTCGGTCCAAAGTCCAATCCCAATCCCCTACAGACTGAACCACTCCCGCCCCTATTAAAAGTCAGTATGACAAGCTATATATTCAGATATATTATTTAAGAGTGGAGAACTCAGTACATTTCTAGAGCTGCACCCGCTCTTGCCCTTAGGCATCCTTTAGTTTAATGAGATCACAGGTTGGCAAACGTCACTGTGCTACAGGATGTGAAGCGGTGTCAAGACTCATGACGTGTTAAAGTGGATTTTTCACTTACCTCTCTGCCTTTTGGATTGCTGCCATTTGGACATTACATTACATTACATTGCATTTAGCTGACGCTTTTATCCAAAGCGACTTACAATAAGTGCGTTCGACCAACAAAATACAAACTTGAAGAAAACAGAATCATATAAGTACATCAGGTTTCATAGAGCAAAAACATTTCAAGTGCTACTCAACTGGCTTTAGGTAAGCCAGTCCTTTATTAGTATATAAGTGCTTTGTTAATAGTTCTATTGCTCGAAGTGGAGTCGAAAGAGATGAGTTTTCAGTCTCCGCCGGAAGGTGTGTAAGCTATCTGCTGTCCTGATGTCAATGGGGAGCTCATTCCACCATTTTGGAGCCAGGATAGCAAACCCACGTGTTTTTGCTGATGGGAACTTGGGTCCCCTTCGCAGCGAGGGTGCAGCGAGCCGTTTGGTTGATGCAGAGCGGAGTGCACGTGCTGGGGTGTACGGTTTAACCATGTCCTGGATGTAGGAAGGGCCAGATCCATTCGCAGCATGGTACGCAAGTACCATTGTCTTGAAGTGGATTCTAGCAGTTACCGGAAGCCAGTGGAGGGAGCGGAGGAGCGGCGTGGTGTGGGAGAATTTAGGAAGGTTGAAGACCAGACGAGCTGCTGCATTCTGGATGAGCTGCAGAGGTCGGATGGCACATGCAGGTAGACCAGCCAGGAGGGAGTTGCAGTAGTCTAGGCGTGAGATGACGAGAGCCTGGACCAGAACCTGCGTCGCTTTCTGGGTCAGCTGGGGACGTATCCTCCTGATGTTGTAAAGCGTGTATCTGCAGCAGCGGGTTGTAGCAGCGATGTTTGCAGTGAAGGACAGGTTGTTATCTAGGATCACACCCAGATTCCTTGCAGTCTGAGTCGGGGAAACAATAGAGGTGCCGATGTTGATTGTTAGGTCAAGAGTGGGACAATCTTTTCCCGGAAGGAAAAGCAGTTCAGTCTTGTCAAGGTTGAGCTTGAGGTGATGAGCAGACATCCACTGAGAGATGTCAGCTAGACAAGCAGAGATGCGTGCGACGACCTGGGTCTCTGAGCGGGGAAAGGACAGAATTAATTGGGTGTCGGCAGCGTAGCAGTGGTATGAAAAACCATACGGGCTAATGACAGATCCGAGCGAGTTTGTGTACAAGGAGAAGAGGAGGGGACCAAGAACAGAGCCCTGAGGGACCCCTGTAGTTAATTGACAAGGGTCGGACTCCGACCCTCTCCAAGTAACCCTGTAGGTGCGGTCTTTGAGGTATGAGGTGATGAGGGAAAGTGCAGAGCCTGAAACTCCAAGTTCTTGGAGAGTGCGAAGGAGGATCTGATGATTCACCGTGTCGAATGCAGCAGACAGGTCCAAAAGGATGATGACAGAGGAGAGGGAGGCTGCTTTAGCAGTGTGCAGTTCCTCAGTGACAGCAAGGAGGGCAGTTTCTGGGGAGTGACCTGCCTTGAAACCAGACTGGTGCGGATCCAGAAGGTTGTTCTGATGGAGATAACAGGAGAGTTGTTTAAAGACGGCGCGTTCAAGTGTTTTAGACAGGAACGGGAGGAGAGAGACAGGCCTATAGTTTATAACATCGGACGGGTTGAGAGTGGGTTTCTTTAGGAGAGGGTTTACTCTTGCCTCCTTGAGACTGTTAGGAAAGTGACCAGAAGTTAGAGAAGTGTTGATGAAATGGGTGAGAAACGGTAGAATATCAGGAGCGATAGTCTGAAGGAGGTTTGAAGGGATAGGGTCCAGAGGACAGTTGGTAGGGCGGGCAGAGGTAATGAGGGTAAGAACCTCACTTGGAGGTGAGGTTAAACAACCTGCAGACTTAAAGAAAGAAAAACAAAAAAGTTGTTTGAAAAAAGTGCTCAGAGAGCAGATACCTCCATGAAAGCTGCACAAAGCTGTAAATGTGTCAATTTAAGTGTAGAAGAGTGATTTGTAAAATATCCATAAAGAAAAAGTCAATCTGTTTACAGTTCTGTTTCATATGGGTGTTGAGAGATGTATCCATAGATCTCTTCATTTTGCTCTCAAAATAGCACTGTACCCCTGCTTACACCTATATGCCGTATGGGGAGTGTTGCATTAGAAAATTCAACAGTAGCGACCGGTACATTAATGGGAAACCCTACATGTTTGAGCACCCTCTATGAAATGTCAAGCTACTGTACCCCACAGCACCCCCAAAAGAAATCTCTGGTGCCGCCACTGAGCCTGCAACCCCGTTTTGAAGAAATGTGCAGTGCAAAACAGGCTCATTGCAGCCACTAATGCTGTGATAAGACACACTTTTTTGCCAACTATCAGCATTTTCTTTCTTTTCATTTTTTTGCACAGATTGCAAAGTGGACAAGTATTATAACTTATCGTTCTAGAAAAGGGATTGCACAATTGTATTATGTATTTATTTTTTGAGCACACAGACTTATGGAGCATTGTTTTATTATCACTGTTCTAGCAAAGTGATTTTTTATTTTTTTGAAAGGAATGCTCACGTTCATATTGATTTATTTTAATAAATGTTAACTTGGCCCATTACGTGACTATTTGTGTTGAGGGGGCCCGACTTTTTTTTTTCTCCAAAAGGGGGGCCTGACAGAAAAAGTTTGAGAACCACTGCATTAGATGAAAACAGAAAGATCTGGGCTTCACTGTTTTAGTCCCACAGCGGAGAGATGAATTTGATACTCAACATCATGCATCAGTCTCAACATCATCTCAATTGGCTACTTTTTTGGTTTTTTTCCCTCTCATCCCTTGCACAATACCGTTATTTTCCCAATTGTCTCTTCTTTCCTACACTCTTCAAATCACGCCAATGAGTTTGTTCCATTCCCTTAAGATGAAGGATAACGGATACAAGAGGAATGTGAAGATGTGGAAATTTAGTGCAGGAGCTCGTAATCTAAAAAAATTGAAAGAAAGCAATGTGGAAGTTTCTCAGGAGGATTTAAAAACATCTTTAAAAATGATGAAGCACTTATTAGTTAGTTTCAACTTAAAAGCGTAACAGATTGTCAAAAATCACCATTAACCAGGTAACTTGACAGCATGCTGCGTCTCCTTTCTATTCAGCCATGTATGAGTGTTGTAATATATTTTCTTCCAGCTGAGTCTACACCTGCAAATTACTAATATCTGCAGCTGTCAGTTCAGGTATGCTTTATTGACTTCAAAGCATCAGTGCTGTGTTTGCAGACATGTCTGGAAGTTAGCTGCCGAGCACTGCCTTTGAGGTAGTGATTCATTTTCCTGCAATTACAGACTCCTTCAGACTCCCTGCAGTTTCTCACTTCCATCTAACATTTTAACCCTAATTTTTTCTTGACCGGGTGTTTTCTTTCCCCAAGGTTTGAATTTCAAATAATTTTAGTAAAGTCCTGCAAAGGTATTTTATAACCAGGCCTGGCAGCTAATAATTGGCTTCTTTTTCAACAGGAAGAAGGAACTGCTGTCAAGGGATGACCTACAGTTGCCGTGGCGACCCCTTTATGCTCTGTACGAGAGGGCTGTCTACTCCAAAAATGAACACCTTGGACTCGTCTGGTTCCCTAAGTATGATGTTGTACCTTTGCATTGACCTGTTTTGATAGATTGTATTTTTTCTTCCACCAAGGTTCCCGTTTTATGTCTAGTTCGGAGTTACTGCCAACATAAGCTTTATCCTGAAAGGTTTGACATTTTGGGAAACATTCGAATAGGACTCTTGCAGAGTGAAGCCACTTATGTATGTATGGAGGCTACCCCTAACAACTCGCTTACTTATTTTGGCATAAAGACTGGAAACAGAGTGTAAGTCTGTACATCTTTTCCATACAGACATGATAGGGATATCAGTATTCATATCCACATGTAACTCTCGGCAAGAATGCAAATCGGATTGTTATTTATATTAGTCTATTACAATTCTAGCCCGTAGACAGTGAAGGCAGGCAGTTCAATTAGATGACTAAAGTAGAGATGAAGAATGATACCACAGAATGTTTGCGTGTATCCTTTAGAGATAAAAACATAGCTATACATTTTGCAAGCCACCATACAGTATGTGTTTGAGTCCCAAAGCTTCAAAAAGCTTCTAATGACTATCACTGGACAAAGATTCCAAAGCTTACAGGCATGGGTATGAAGTCCAGAAAGAAGTAACAGATAATACCAATTGACCAGAACCGGACAGGCAGAGGCAGATACAGGATACAACAAGATGGACAAAATGGCCGCTGACTGGGAAAAGGGGCTATTGCAGGGCTGATTAGGGGAAGTGGAATCAGGTGAGCAGGTGCATGTGAGTCATGTGACTAGTGAGGAGGTCTGAGGACATCTGGTGGACAGGTAGAGAATAGTATGGCTGGGGAATAGGAGAGTACATGGCCTGGCAAAACCAAATGTATGTATGTACGCTAATAATGAAGCTAGCTTACTTATTTTAGCATAAATACTGGAAACAGAGTGTAACTCTTAGCTTAGATCTGTCCAAAAATGATTAAATTAACTTGAATCAGTAGCATAATTTTTTCAATTTTACATGGCCTGGCAAAACAAACAAACCGACTTCATGACAGTTTCCTAAAGAAGTTAGTGTGAGCTCCAATACATAAATGATTAAGTAAAGTCAATGTTCAAGCCACATTGCCAAACGTTCTTTTATTTCAAAAATATTATGATTTCCCTCGTTCCTTTTTAGTTTTTCTCTATAACTATGTTGTATTGTTGGTCAGACATAACAAGCTAATTTCATGATGTTACCTTGAGTTTTTATGGGCACTCGTTCTGTTCTGAAAATTGAACAACTAAATGATGAAAGTAATTGTTAGTTGCAGCCCGAGTGTTTAAGGTTTTTTTTATGTGGATCTCATAACATCGTTAGAACAGAAATCCTTCCCATACACACTCACACACCTCCTCTCTCTGCTTGTTTGCAGCTCGGTGGACCACATTTTGAAGGCTTTGATCAAAAGCTGCAGACTGTAAGTCTCATCCTCTGTGATCATGTAATTTGTGTTCTGGATAATGTGTTACTTTGATCTCCATTTGAGCTGCGCGCTGTAGATCAATGTGTGTACTTGTATCGGCAGTCTGT